CTTCAGGAAATACATCAGCAATTTCTTGAATCACTGGGACGCTATCTAAGGTAAACATTGGATTTCTCGGAATTTATCACATGAGCTAGATAGCCAGCACACCCATGGGATATCAACTTACAAGCCTTAATTGTCAAAATTAGACAAGAAATAGCTCCTTTACTACCCTTGAAGCAAAAAGGAACCGAGCCAGTTATGCAAAAATTCACCTGTCTCTTACAACAATCAATAATTGCATGATATGTGAATAGTCTGTCCATACACAAGATTACATCAAATTCAGCTAGTGAGAATACTATGAGAGTAGAAGGCGTATGCATTTCATTAATGATAATATCACAATCACGAACACACCGAGTAACAATCAAAAGCGAGTTAGATGGTTGAGTAATTGATAGATGTGACTGTAATGGGGAAATTAATGCACTAGATGCAATTTATTTGATATGAACGAATGAGTGGCCTCAGAGTCAAATAACACCTTTGTTGATTGTTTTAAAATAAGGATGGCACCTATCACCACATCAAGAGCTTCACGGGACTATTCCAGTGTCATAACGAATGCACGTGGTGGAATTGTCTGTCTAAGCTGCTCCGGAGCTTGAGCTCGTTGAGGCAGGCACCATTGAGGGTGGTTGATACATTATAGGTGGTTGTTGAGGTTGTTGGTATTGCTGGTACTGTGGTGCTAAAAGACATTGTGGATACGGTTGAAACGTCATTCATTTATTGTTATTGTTGTTGAGGCTGAAAATAGTTCTGCTTTGCTTGACCTTTTCCTTGATACTTCTGAAATTGTCCTCCATTTGATTTGTGCCACTTGCTTTTGTGATGAGACTTCAAATTATTTTCTTGGGTGCTTGTCGCTTGCATCTGACCATGAATTTTAAAGGGACAATCCTTAATTTTATGTTGGGTACTATAGCAATTGAAGCATTTGTCGACAAACAAATTACAAGTCCCAGAATGTCATTTCCCACAATGAACGCATCTAGGATTTGTTTTTGACTTCTGTGTCTGGTGATTTTGATGTTGCTTCTTTTGGGAACTCCTGTTAACTTATATATCTGAATTCTTCCACTTCTCGGCATGCTTTTCCTCGCAAGCATTGATCTCCATCTCCACATGAATAGCTAGATCCATCAGTTCTCTGTAAGTCATGCATTCAACCGCTTATAGGCACCTCTGAATGTCCTCTCAAACCAACAAGTAGGTGATAGATTTTTTTATCTTCATGATGATTGATTGTTGGAATGAAACAGACGATCCTGGCAAATTGCATCCACAACGGTCTTTATCCCTCGCTCCAGCTTCCTCAAGTCATTCATGAGCTTGGTCCGGTCCACCAAAGGGAAATATTGTTCCAGAAATAATCTTTCGAAATCCGCCCAGGATACTACTGCATTTGGTCCAAAAATCTTGCGACGATGACTTCCCACCAATCATCAGCTCCTTCGTGCAACTGGAAAGTCGCAATGTCCGCCTTGAGGTCTTCCAGACACTTTATTCCTCCGAGTAACTGGAAAGTCGCAATGTCTGCCTTGAGGTCTTCCAGACACTTTATTCCTCCGAGTCTATCTTCGATATCATGTAGTCATGCCTCGATTGGGTCCAACGTGCCATTGAAGGTAGGAGGATGTGTCTTCATAAATTGATCCATCACTTGATCTATAGTACTCGCATTGGCCTTCGCCATTGATTAATTGGGTTGTGTCTCCATGGCGGACACTAGTGGAATTGATTGAGTGGCTTGTACCGCTAGTTGCACAGCTTGCTGGATAGCTTGGACCGCTTGTGCAATTTGGGCCGCAAAGTTTGCTTGTAATGCTTGGGTAACATTCTGTGTTACCACCTCCACAGTAGTCGCCAAGTTGAGATTTTGTGTTTCAGTATTCTCGGTGTTTGAACAGGACCAGCACAATGGTGATTAGGGGAGTGAAGACCCCTAGGAACAGACACCTCATTTATAGTAGTTCTCTAGACTTCTCTTCCACAAGCAGCTGCAGCACTTCTTTTGGTAGCCATTCTAAACAATTGACAGATACGCAAAATTAAAATTTATGGAATCGCTAACTTAACAAGTATAACCTATTCCCTACCAAATTCTAAGAATTCAAGGGATATGAGATTCAAAGTCAAATAAAATTAAACAAAAAACACAAACTATGATACCACTCTGTCACACCCCAACTCCGGAAGACGGTACACCCAAGTCGGACAGGGCCTGAGGAAATGATTTGAACATGTTTTGTATTTTTTTTAAAAAATCTTGCATTACAAATAAAAGAGAAGATATAACTTTTATTAATTCTTAAAAGTTCAAAAATACAACTCGATTGAAAATAGAAACTAGTTGAATCAAAATAGAAAAGCTAATATAGAACAACTACTAAGACCCAACATAAATACAATAGCTAGAAACAATTACTGGAAAATACCAAAACTGGAAAACAAAAACCGATAAGTTGGCTCCTGTGGAGACAGTCCTACTAGCGGCTGAATGAAACCTGTTATGCAAAAATTAAGAATGATTTTGACAAACTCGGTATATAACAGCTATCTATTAAAGCATAAACAACAAGTGAATGGGACATGCAATAAGAACAACAAGGAAAAATCATTATGTGCGTATGTAATACTGAAGACTAATAAGAATGGTACATATCAATTATGCATCCTATATGAAAACATGCAAGCATTTTTCACCAAATTTCTTATTCTTATGTTTCCATTTATATTTATATAGTCAGTTTAAATAAACACCATGAAACCAGGAAGGTCAAATACCAACCAAAGAAAACCTGACGATTTCCTGTAGAGTCGTCACTCTATGGGCTCGACCCAACTAACTAAAATTCAAAAGGGTTCTACCGACTGACACAAGATCATATAAGCATGTCAAATTGTTTCCATATATATAACATGTTAAAATTATAATATTTAATGCAGGCTTGTGATATAACATATGCAAAATCATACAAGTGCATAAAAAGAAAACATCATGCTACAGGATTAAATCCAATATGCAACAATGGCCTATAATAAGTGCAACATCATAATTGAAGTAACAAGGGCGGGACTGACAAAGCATAAATAATAGATGTGATATATATATATATATATCTACAATTAACATGGAATAACACCCCTAACTAAGAATGGTACGTTTATCCTCTAATAAACAGCAGTTACCTCGAGGTGGCAACTTAACACTCCTATACGTTCGACGGTTCAATTGGTATTTTACACCAAGTAGAAAAGAACATATAATTAATTATGCGATTAAATTTATTTTAACCTAATCAATGCGCATTATTACTATTATTATAGTTGTTAATTTATTATTGTTATTATATATTTTTAAAAGGAAGAAATTATGAATCTAATTAATATTAATAAACAGTAGTTACCTCTAATAAACATGGAATAACACTTCTAACTTGGAATGGTACATTTATCCTCTAATAAAAAATAGTTGCCTCTAGGTGGCAACTTGACACTTCTATAAGTTCGACGGTTCGATTGGTATCTTACACCAAGTAAAAAAGAACATATAATTAATTATGCGATTAAATTTATTTTAAGTATAACCTAATCAATGTGCATTATTACTATTATTATAGTTGTTAATTTATTATTGTTATTATATATTTTTAAAAGGAAGAAATTATGAACCTAATTAATATTAATTTAAAAAATGTGCTTTAAACCCTACAGTTTTCAAATCTGTTTCTACTCTGTTTTGCCTTAAATCCCAGAAAAAGCATTGGGAGATGGATTCACGGGAATAGAGAAGCCGCGGCGCGTGAGCAGATGGGAAGAAGGGGAGAAAGTTGAAGGTCACCTTCCTCACTGTTTGCAGGTAAGAGTGAACAGAAGAAAAAGAAATATGGGAGTTTCGAGTCCTTGGACGTCATGATTCCTATCATTGCCTCCCACGAGAGTTCGGTCACAAAAATGATAGTTTCGGGCGAGACAGGAAGAGAGAGAGGAAGAAGATCGAGAGAGGGGAAGGAGGAGAGGTAGCGGGACGAGGAGATCGGTCCGGTCTTACCTCTGCTCTTATAGAGCAACGTTGCTCGTCAAAACGAGATGGCAGTAAGAAGAGGCGGCAGGAAGAGAAAAAGGAATATTGCAATTCGGGAGGAAAGATCGCAAGGAGAGATAAAAAGGAAAGAAAGAAAAATCATGTAGAGGAATAAAAGGTAAGAAAAAAATCGGTTCTTATACACTTGCATTTGATTACTTTCAAAACATTTTGAAACAAAACAACATGCCCCAAAAATAGGCATCAAGCAACATAAGAGATTTCCAAGCAACTAAAAAAGTTTATCACTTAAGAGTTCGGACAACGTGGCCATAGAGTAATGCTAAATTTGCATTGAGACCTAATGCTTAAGGCTACAGAAATTTCGAAAATGTTCATCACGACAATTTCCAACATATATTTCAGGACATCTCAATAAAACATAGCAAATCAATTTAAAGCCCAAAAAAGTTTACAAAAAGTAGGATGATTGAGCTACCAGCCAAATGTTCAATGATGACACAAAAAAATTTAGTCTTCTTGGTTATTAAAATCAAGGGATAATTACATACATGGAACTTGTAACATTTCTATTTACTCAAGTAGCACCCAGTTCATTTTTTGAACTATTAAGCCGGTGCATTTACTGCTGAGAAGGTCAAACTATTGGGAATTTGATAAAAAATGAATAATATAACAGAAATCTGTTTTAAAATTATTGACAGAAACCCTAAAACAGATCGAGTCAGTTTTAGTTCGAAACAGCAGCAAGTTATATCCAAATACCTCAAGCTCTGCATTCAACATTCTTTGAGCAATTTTTTAACATCCATTCAAAGAGAACTCTCCCCAATCACTAATAGACAACATAAACGTTTTGACCAAAAGGGGAAAAAACATGCACCACCTATTTCACAAGATAGATAAACGATGGACACAAAAGACAAGGAACAGTTATAAAAAATCATCTCACCCGTGTAGATCGGCGCATGGACACTCCGACCTGCAAGAAAGAGTAAAGGAGCGAGGATAGAGAGGAAGAGGAGAAGCACCACTGGCAGTCGGCATGTTCCGGCGCTGGATCTGCCCCTTTGAAGCACGCCTCCAGAAGCGGTGTGAGAGAGCCGTTTCGAAGGAGGCATTACAGCTTAATCCGAGCTGATCTCCAAGAATGGGGAAAGAAACAACACAAGATAGAGTAAGAAGCTAGGTGAACAATCTGAATGGCGAACGGAGAAGCTTCCCGAGATCACCTCCACAGATTTCAAAGACGACGAGCGCGTTATGAGCGATCGAGGAGGAAAATCAGGGGAATAGAGAAATTTTCAGGTGCTCCAGTGCTCAGCTCAACTTGACGAATACTCAGCTCTACTTCACGAGTAACACGTTTACATGTATAGTGTAAACCGCTCGTTTATAATTAAAAAGTTTGTTTTGGTTCGCTTCGTTCCCCAGAATGCAAGCTATAGGAGCCGTTCATAAATAAAGAGTTCTTTTAACAATTTTAATATTTAATCATAAGATGTTAAGAATTAGGGCAAGATTTAAAGTACAGTTTGAATCTAATTTAATCATTTTTATTCTATTTTTTTAATTAATACTTTTAATTGATAATAAATCTTTGTATTCTTTTAGTCAATTAAATTTTTTAAAAATACTACTCATCAAATATAAATATTATATATAATTGGTAGTAGTATTTTGAGTCAAAACAAGCCGAGCACGAGTTGTTCGAGAACAACGAGCCGTTTTGACAGCCCTATTTACATGAATATAATTTTGTTTTAACTGTGTGCAGAGAAAATATTAAACTTATCAGGACGACAGTTCCGACCAACCACCACATCATCATAGATGAGATGAGGTGTATGCTAAACTGTCGTCTGATCATTGGTCATTCACAGGTGCAGACGACTAACACAATATTTTCTAGTGAGTGACACATAGTTTTAACTTTTATGATTTACATCTAATTAGCATATTTTAATATAATGATTGTGATCTTCAATGTTTACTGTGTAGATATGAACATTGTACCTTGTATGTCTGTGTGTGAGTTTATATTTTAAATTGTTTTAACTTAAGTATCGTTCACTTTAGTAAGTAGTAGGTGTCTATATATAGGGGTGTCAAAATTGACTTGACACACCCGAACCCATCTCAAAAAATCTAGATTCGGGTTGACCCGAATAATTTTCGGGCTTGGTTCGAATTAAATACCCTGACCAGTTTAATTTTTCAAGCCATGTGAGGGTTGACCAGTCGACCCAAGAATGATACGATAACTCTAAATTGATTTTAAATCGACATGTCAATCTGGAATTAACCCAAATTTAACCAAAATAGTTGTTATTCCTTAAGTTAAATGGGGTTATATTCGAGTTGGTGGGTTGAAGGCTGGTTGGGTTGGAGTTTGGTCAATTTGGAGTCGAACCTGAACTCGACTTGCTAACCCAAATTGATGCGCCTACCTATGTATATAATTTTTATTTGGGTTTTTTACTTATTTACCATATATAAACATTTAATATTATATACTAATCACCCAAACATAAAAATTTACATTTCAACCACTTAAAAAATCCCCCTTATTCAAAATGGCCACCATCTGTTATCTTTCACCTCCATCTCCCACCCGCTTACTCACCTTCTTCTACTCATGTCTCATTTCCCATGATCGTCATCCCTATTTCTGAACATGACTTCATGCATTCTTGTCACCGCTTAATTGGCCTCGATAGGACTGTTCTTAAAATTGGATTCGATGGAGGTCTCACCCTTTTCCCTCTAGCCTTCAGATGACGAAAGCGATGATATCAAGATTTTGTTCTTGTCCAAGCTTCATTCCCTATTAGAGAACAACATAGAGAGCATTTCAAGACTCACAATCTTATTAAACAGGCAAAGGGCATCATCGAATGAGTAAATTTCAACTTTCCAATAGCATGTCATGATTTATACATGCATCATCTAACCGAAAGCTTCCGAAGAAATTCCCCCATCATCCAAATCTCATAAGTCTCCTGCGGGAAGCCGCCCATGTCCTCACTATGATCAATTTCAAAGCTCAAATTCTTGAAATCAAAGAAATCTATCAAGAAGTCGCTTGCTGGATGAGACAAATCCCTGAAAGGCTGGGGGCAATCTCTTTGACGGAATTTGCTACCGGCATCTCACCATAATCATAGCAGAATCATTCAGCAGCTCCCGAAAGTGAGACGAGAGATGAAGATGGTGTGATGACATTAATACGAACGATGAGATGGGAGATAGAGGCCATTGGGTTAATGAATAATGGTTGTTTTGAAAAACGGGGTTGTTTAGGGTGGTTAAAATGCAATTTTTTTAATTTTGGGTGGTTATATGTAATATTAAATATATTAGATGATGGGTAAGTAAAAAACCCATTTTTATTTTTGTGAGCACCACATGCTCTAATGAAGAAAGAAATTAGGGATTTGAGTGTTTCTTATATAGTTTTGTATAATTTTGTACTTATATTATCTCTTGTATAGTTTTGTACTTAAGTTTTTAGAGGGTTTATATTATCTCTTATATAGTTTTGTACTTGTATTTGATGATAAGATAGCTCATCATATTATTAATAACAATAACATCCTGCACCCATACTTAATGCATATTTTGTCCATAGTTGTGCAGTTGTATTTTATTAAGGGCTAGTCCATAATATAAGTAATACATATTTATATACAGAACCCAGTATGGATTTTGCACACAAATATATACGCATATGTTACCATAGATAGTCCATGATATTGTCGGTGCACAATTATGTAAGTGTTATGCACAACAATGTACTTGTATCTTTAAAGAAAGAAAATCAAACATATTTCAAGTTCATAGTTATGTGCATCATCCAACAACATTGGTGATGTATATAACCATGTATTTATAGTTAAGTTGAATATATTTCATCTTATAACACCGCACATGAATGCACATTTGTACTTATATTTTCTATGAAACATTTCGTCATATTGACTACGCGAATTTGTGTGCAACATCAACATTTGATTTCAAAGATGTACACACTTATATAATTATGATTTTGAGTGATATTCATCTTTTTAATAGTACATAACTTAGCTAGGTGCTTATATTTTAATAAGATTTAATCTATCATATTATAATATGCAATTTAATACATATGTTGACCTCATTTTTTTACTTGAGGTCTTTCATGTTATTTTTCTAGAATATAGGATCTAGTCTTAGGGTTCTTTAGTGGCTCTCCTAGAAGACTAGTGGTGGAGCCAATACCAAGCTAAGATTTCAAAACAGCCCTTCACTCCTTATAGTTTCATATACTTGGTTTCAAATTCTTAACCTTTGATTGAGATAATTAAAGTCAAGCTATTGAAGCTTAAGCTGAGTTTTTATAGACCTTGAAACGTCCTAGACCACCCTTTGACCTTAGAGACTTAGGTCTTTCATTTGGTCTCTTCCATTGGACACTTTGCACTTTGATGGGCGTCGTCGGATTGGGTCGCGCCCTAGCCTCGTCGTCATTGTTGTCATTATCATCGTTGTCGTCATTGTCGTGGACTCACTAGTTTTTTTACCAACGTATAGCCTCTTTCTCCGAATAACTCTCTCAATGATCGTGTGGGCAATCTAAAGAGAGAAGAGATCAGAGAGCTAAAGCATACAATGACGATGACAAACAAAAGAAACACATGAGAAAGCTTTCGTGAGGTGGACCTCGCATAGATAGCTCCAAAGTGTATGCCCAAGGTGAGATCGACCTAATTCAGTTTGGAGGCACACTTGCGAAGAAAACCTGATAAAAGTAAACCCACGACCAGATTCAGGTTATTGTACCTATTTTGGGATCTGCTTCCTCCTATAAAAGCAAGTCTCTATAGTTAATTACATCTTAAGCAACCGGGGATGCTTAAGAAAACTCCTGATTAGACTGTAACTCGTCCTCAAAAGTTTGAATGATGTTGTTTTCTAGGAAGGAGTTTCAAAGTCCTATCATAAGGGTAGCAGATGCTTGAAGGCTCAGAAAACTTATGTCAAGATCCCAAACTATCCTATGTTCTTATATTGTTGTCATTGGTTTAGTTGAAGTTCATCCTCTGCTTTGAGTTTTGATTTTCTGTCCCTGTAACATAGAGTTAGCACACCTTAATAATATGCAAAGTAAATTTAAGGTGATGTCTGCCTTTTTTCTTAAACAACCCTGCAAAATATATTTAGCATAAAATATGTTTTTCTTCGATGATTTAGTTGTTTGTTTATTTATTTTTTATTTTAGACAACCCAGTTAAGATGTCAATTGCTTTCAATCACCCCAGGGTTGTTAGGTTCCCTTATCTACTTAGACTAAGAGGAAGTCAAACCTACTATGAACAGAAGATTCATGTCAGTAACCATGTGTTGCATCGTCTAAGAGATCTTCGTAGACCCAGGTAGCAAGGTTAAAATTTTGTTCGGTGGTCTTTGTTCATTAGAATTTCATTTAAGTTTTAATGACTTTTTTAGATTTTATGGGTTGAAAATTTCATATTGCTTAAGACTTATTAGTTAATTAAGTTTTTTTTTTGTGTTATATTTTTTTATGTCAGGAATGACCCGGTCAAGATTCCATAGTTATGTACTCCCAGGGTCACTGGCGTTTGCGATTTGATTAGTCATAAGTGACTAGAAGATATTTTGTTAGCATTCATGAGTTGCCTCCTCCAAAATACTTTCTCAAACTAAGTTGCATTTTATGGTTAAAGTATAAGTTTTAATAGATTTTAGGGTGAATTTTATGTCGTATCCTTTATGTTTGTTTGTTCTTTAGCCCAAAATACCCCCAACTAAGGCTAAGTGTGCTTTTGTTCTCCGATGAGAAGCCAAATACTCCTTAACCTCAAGTCAGTTAGGTCTGATTTGAATTTAGATTAGCCTGAGTTAGGTCAAACTGATGCAAAGTGAACTCCTAGTCAATCCAAGCTAGCTCTGGTTCACCTTGGTCAACTTTGAGTTTAATTCAATTAGAGTTTAACAGGTTTGACCTAGGTTAGCTTAGTTTGACTGGGTTCAAGCTGAGCTTAACAGATTTGGACTAACTCGGGGTTGGACTTAGTTGATCCAAATCACACGGAGTTAACTTTGAGTTACCTGGGTAAATTGGGTTGACTAGAGCTAAGCCTCCAGAGTTGAGTCAGATCAAACTTTAGTTAGAATTATGTGAAGTTCAGGGTAATTTGGATTTGATTTATTCTTTAATGGAATCAAGTCTAAGTTGAGTTAGACTTGAGTCGACTAAACTCGTTTAAATTTAACTTAAGTTCAAAGTCGAGTTCTCGATCGGGTTGACCTGAGTTAAGTCAGTTTGATTAGAGGTATTCAGGCTGATTCGGGTTAAGCCAAGTTAGTTCAGG